TGCAGGCCATTCACCTTTACCCAACTTTTTTTATTCTGCTTAGCAGTATTTTCAAGGGAGGGCAGATAAGCTTCCCCTTTTCCAGTTTGCAGAAGTAAACAACTTTGCACTGTAAAAACCTAAGAGAGGATGATATCTCCCCAGACCCCTGAAATTCTGAAATATTTCTCCATTCCAATATTCCAGGCTTCAGGGTCAGCAGTCTAATAAGTGGCTGTCAAGGGGAAGTCTGAGCTAATTGTTCAGCACGCAAGGGAGGCATGCTTTAGCCAAACCCTACCTCTCATGCTCCTAAAATTCCTTCTCAAAAGATGTATCTGTTCCGCCTCTCTTTTTTAGCATCAGAGAAGCGAAAATCAGAAGATATGAAAGGAATTTTTCCCCCTAGCCACATACTGCCAGGCTTAGCCTCCTGGCACAAGCTTTCTTGCTTTTAAGCAAAAGAATTAACAACTCTGCCAGGAGACAGAAACACTGTTAATGTCCCACATCACATCCCCAGCTACTGCTTGTCGCCAAACTTCCATCAATTCTCTTGAACTGCGCAGAATTCACTCATTATTCCTTTCTCTCTTTTGCTCACTCTCCCTGCAGAGTAAGTATCTCTGCTCAACGGAAGTGGCCTCTGATTATAATAAGTCTTTTAAATTAAGTCCCTTTTAATGTATTTAAATGTTCAAACATTACAGTAGCCCACTAACTAGCTAGCACCGATATTGGATTTTAAAAGCAACAAGGAATCAATGCAACCAATCAGCCCTTATTCCAGTGAGTCACAGAGGGTCCCATCTGCAATAGTTTGCAGCTAGTGTGATCCCCAGGAGCTGAGCTCAGGTCAAGAGAGTCTTGTCTTTATTTGTTAAGTCTCCTGAAATAATGGCTTCTGTCTCTCCCAACGATATTGTTGTGACCCTAGCACAACAGCTGCTTCACGAGGCCTCCTTTTCTCTAGGTGCCTGGCTGTTCATCCCTATCAGTTCTGCATCTCTGGGGTAACCACTTAGGAAGGATTGGGGGGGGGATTTTGTTTGGAGGATATGAGGATATGAAGGTCCAGAGTTCCCTAGGTGGATCAGGTAACTGCTGAGAGGCTATTTTTCCCATCCAGTAAGCTCAGTAAGACAGCTGTTACAGAAAACAGCTGCACTCTCATGTCCCCCATGAATCCCACCCACACCACAACTTCAAGGTTGAAGCAAAAGATATTACCCACTCTACAAAATAATATAAATTCCTATTCAGAAGGCCAATCCTGCTCAGATGTGGCTATAAAAGCAATTCACTCCCTATTTGCCACACTACTGGCATAACACAGAGCTTTCTTTCCTATATCTTTTTTTTTAAGAATTTGTTTAGATTTATTTTTTTTAGGATTGCAAATGGTTTACAAAATCTTTAAACACACACAAACACACATATTTCCCTTACCAATCAACTAATCTGGGCTTCTCAGCAGACATGGAAGAGGCTGCCATGCCCTTTTGCTAGATATTTGCTTTATCAGCCCTTCAAGGAAGTCAATCGAATTGGCAAGGATGAAAGAGAAGGAGAAAATGTAAGAACTATATAAGGGTACATGGAAACTATTACACTCAGGGGAAATTTGCCAGACAAAAAAACAATCATCAGCAATCACAAGGGATACATAACTGAATGCACAGCACATTGTCTCAATAGTTTCATCAATCCTCCTCCTCCCACACTTCCTCCACAGAGTTGAACATGTACAACCCTTGCAGAGAACTATTTAAAATTTGCAATTTGAAACTCAAGTGGAAAAGCAAATGGTAGAAACAAGAACACCTGCCACTTCAGACCAGAAAGCATTGATCAGAAAGAGATGACAATCTGCTACGGTCTCTCCCATCTTCGTGGCACTAGACAAAACTATCTGCAACGTAACCTTTCTTACAGTCTACTTTGTTCAGAGGCTACCTGACATTATGGTTTTGTTTTGGGTTTTTGGGGACTGGAGAAAAAAGGAAAAACGAAGATTAGATGTCGAAGGTTCAGAAGGAAAAAAAATAGTCTAATTCTGAAACTAAAGAATGACCTAACCATTTGAACAATACCGTTATTAATTCAGATTAGTAACTGAAAAAAAATATTTGTAAAATAATAATTCAATATTTCTATGTACCAAAAAAAAAAACCCCTAAGGCTAATAAGGTACATAACTGAGAAGGCCTCATTTTCCTGAGCGGCTCAAAGATTTGCTCTGCATCATACAATCTTTTCTTTGTATAAATAATCCATGACAGCATCACAATTCATGTATGTGCGCTCATAGTCATGCCTGAGCCATACCTCATAACTTCAGACATATGCCTGCTTTCCTGGCCAGCTGTAGAAAATTTAACTCATGAAGCAGCTGTGAGATCCTCTGAGTAAAATTATTCCAGGCAATAAATCCTGACAGAGCAGACCAAAATCACTGCAGGTAGCAAATGAGAGGAGGCCAGGGAGAGCAGGTGTCTTGCACTGCCTCCGCCCGCCCCTTCCCTCCAATAGCTGATTTGACTTAGGCCTTTTGCTACAATGGCACACTGGCTATTCCAAATAAAGATCTGGAGCCATCTTTAAGGAATGGTTCCTAATTATGACACCAGTCTGAAAGCTACATCTTGATATGTGCTCCTCTCAAATCTGATATTTCCCCACACCTGTCATTTGCCTGATAAAAGTTGGGGAGATTTCTATCCCCATTTTAAGTGCAGACTTGTGAACAAAAAGTTTGGATGTAAAGAAATGAAGCCGCAGCAGCAGCAACTGTACTTGTAGAACACAACACCTAGGTTTCCATACTATTAGAGTACTACAACCTTAGGGCTTCATAGCTTTTCTAGTGTTGTGTAGCTATGGCTGGAAGTAAAAAGCTTCAAGAGCCACTCATTCATTCTCTACTTACAATAGATCTACAATGTGTTGAGCACATCTCCTAAAATAACCCTCAGCTTGGCCTTGGGCCAGCCCCAGCCTTCCACATCCACAAAATGGGAAATCAGCATCTTGCTTGCTCTCAATCTGCAGCAGTAAGAAATAGATACCCATTTCCTGCCCTGAAAATCGCAGCATACAGATTGATAACTCCAAGAAGTGAAAGAGACAGAAAATTCAGTGTACAGAATGTTCCATCGCTATGGGCACTGTCATAGAAAGGGGGAGCCTTCTTTGCTGGCTTAGGAACAAAGTGGCATAACATCCAGTTATTCCCCGGCTAATGTGTGACAGGAAGGTGACCTTGTACAAATAAATGCCTCTATTTTTTTCTTTATTAAAATGGGAACGTCCTAAGGTTCCCTGGCATCACAGAATGGTGAAAAAACAATTGTCCCTTTGCTGTACTTGTGATGTCTGGATGTTAGTGATGATGGAAAATATACCTAAAAGGAGGGGGAATTCAAGAAACAATGAATAATGACTAATTCAGTGACAGAGGTGGAATACAGCAACCTAGAAAACGGCATAGCCACATTAACATGCATTTTCATACAGCACTATATCAAACTTTTGACAACAGAGTGAGGCTCCTTCTTGTGTCCAAAGCTGTAGTTGCTGCTCTTTTCCTTCTTAATTTCGTTCCCTAAGTCACAAATTCCTTTCTTTGGGCATAAAACTAAAAATATATAAATGTGCCAATACATGTTTGCAAATGTGTATCGCATAGGTAGATGAAATGAGGAAGTGAGGACTGCCTGTCAAATGTGCACGTGGCAAAACCCATGATCTTGTGACAATCTTGTGCAAACATTCTCTCCTGCAGAAATGTTGATTCCCAGAAATGGCCACATGCATTTACAATATGCATAACTGTGTACAAGAATCCTGCTCTTCCCAATGACTAATTCAGCCCACCTTCACACTGCAGGGTATACATTTAGCTACTCTATGCCTTTCCCTCTGCATTCATATTCACAAGGAATTACGATGACTTCCACACTAGAATATACTTGTAATCTTTGAAAATTAGAAGCTTAACTGAGGGGAGGAAGAAAAAACGATCAAAGGCAAGAAGCAGCTCAAACTTCCTCACATTCCTTAATTCAGAACTTACCAGCATGTCTCAGCCTTTAAAAAGCCCCCTGCTAGGTTGGGTGCTTCATCCAGAGCCCTAAATACAATTCTGCCGGGTTGAAGATGCAGTTAATACCGGCTGTGTTTACATGGGAAATATCCAGATGTAATTATAGGAATGATGTTATGATAACAGGAAATCCATGTTCTGTGGAGATACTGGGGAAACAGCATATAGTTGTTTGCTAATTATGAACAACAAGAAGCCTTTGTATAGCTGTGGAAGGATGAGTTCCCTCTGCTTTGTGGACTTTGGCCCACAGATGGTTTAAATCATGTACATCAGGGTATTCTTAGCCTGTTTGTGCAGTTATCAAAGTTCCTGGGTTCCTGCTGACACAGCAGAGCCATCGTCCTCAGGGAGATGTGTTTGCCTTGTGTAACAGAGCCAAATGCATGCAACAACACTGCAGATTATGATTTTTTTTAAAAAAATGTAGCACAGCAACTTAATGAAAACACCATCAGAGAAGAAATAATATTCAGTGAAATTTCTACAGCAGCCCAAATCCTTTAAACTGAAAGAAGCTTTCTCTATGTATACCTTAATATAACTGACCAACTGAATCTCTTCTTTGCTATTTATCTTTGGATTCTTACTAAATCAGTTTTATGAGATGAAAAGAACCTAGTTCACAAGAAATGCAAACGGTACAGAACAAGACTTCTGCTATGTAGAATCAAATTGCACATTAAAATACAGCCTTCTTAAGAGGATACCCACAAATTAAGGAAGTAAAGACACTCAAGATGAAGGTTGAAGATAGCCCTCAGAAAACGAGTTTCAAGATCATAATGAAATATGCGCAAGTGGATATTACTTCATTCTTTTTAACAATGTGACAGAGGCCCAGGGAATTTTTTTTCCATTTTAAGGGCCCATAGGACTCTACTAAACAACATAACAAGACCTCCAAGAATCTTACCTTTTTTATCCTGCCGCTTCGTGTACCAGCAAAAACAACTGTGTGTCCATGGTAGTCATAAGCAGCCACAGATGTCATGCCATCTTCCTTGTCCACAAACAGTGGCACACCTTCAATGGTAACAGTTCCACCCAACGGTTGATTAAAATCTTGCCCGCAGAAATTGTCATCTATTTGCAAGGGCTATAGAAAAATACAGGAATAGAAAAATAATAAGAAATTAGTGGTCGGATACCATTTCAGCTCACCAGATAATAAAAGTATTCCATGACAAAGGGATCTCAAATCTTCAGGATTATCACCAACAGAGAAATTAGTGATAGTAATGATAGTAATTTTTTATCAATTGAAAAGCACATGCAACGGATTCCCAATGGCTAGGAGAAAACAACTTTCCTCCTCGTGGCTCCCTATCCCCATGCAGTTAATTCTCACCATGTACCTAGTAAGCAACAGAATTTATTATTATTAAATGTATGTTCATTAAAATGATTTGAAATTAATCAGAATAAAAATATGCACATTTAAAATAAAGTTAGGTTCAGGGAAAAGCCAGGCAGAGAAAGAGAGAGAGTATAAAAAAGACATGCCTGCTGAAAAAAAAAAGTCTTAAGCACAGATTTTCAATGGCTAATCTTAAGGACTGGAAAAGTTCATTTTGTAATTCTATAGTAATATCCACTGTTTAAAATGGGCCTGGGAATACACTGGAAAGCTATACAAAAGATATAGGATTAATGTTATCTTTTCTGAACATTTTACCCCTGCAATAATTGGACAGCTGAATTCTGTAACTAGCTGAAGTTTCCAGTGTCTTCTTAAAGACACCTTCATTTACAACATGTTATGATACTCTGGTCTGGATATAATCAGATAGGGATGCAGCTGGTGAAGAGCTGCATCCCTGTTGTTGGTGTGATCTGCAAATTTCAAGGTTACATTGAGTTCAGTAGAACTCCCAAGCTGCACATATGATCCCTCAGTAAGAATATTATTGTTTTCAACACTATATTGCTTTCCCATCTTCACACATATTCCTTCTAGGAGAACTCGTTTCTCCCCTTCTGAATTAAACCTCAGTTCGTTTGCCCTCATTCATCCTCAAATTTGGGATTTTTATAATTTCCTTGCAATTAGTTAGAGAAAAAAGCAAGGTTCTACATTTAGGCAAGAAAAACCAAATGCACAGGTATAGTATAGGGGGTACCTTGCTCAATAGTAGTAACTGTGAGAGGGACCTCGGAGTCCTAGTGGACAATCACTTAAATATGAGCCAGCAGTGTGCTGCAGCTGCCAAAAAAGTCAACACAGTGCTAGGCTGCATTAACAGAGGGATAGAATCAAGATCACGTGAAGTGTTAATACCACTTTGCAATGCCTTGGTAAGGCCACACTTGGAATACTGCATCCAGTTTTGGTCACCGCAATGTAAAAAAGATGTTGAGACTTTAAAAAGAGTACAGAGAAGAGCAACATTCTACTAATCCCCTGACCTCCGATTTCGTATATTCCTTGCCGACGACCTTAACCCATACAGATCAAATTACTTCTCTTCCTGCTCCCCCCTGTACTATCGTCACAAGGTTATAGAGTCCCCAACGGTATTTCTTCTCCCTCAGTTCGATAATTCCAAAGCGCCTGGAGGCAGGACAAGAAGCAACGGGTGGAAACTAAGCAAGGAGAGAAGCAACCTAGAACTAAGGAGAAACTTCCTGACAGTTAGAACAATTAACCAGTGGAACAACCTGCCTCCAGAAGCGGTGAATGCTCCAACACTGGAAGTTTTTAAGAAGAGACTGGACAGCCATTTGTCCGAAATGGTATACGGTTTCCTGCCTGAGCAAGGGGTTGGACTAGATGACCTTCAAGGTCCCTTCCAACTACTACTACTACTACTACTACTACTACTACTACTACTACTACTATTATTATTATTATTATTATTATTATTATTATTATTATTATTATTATTATTATTATTATTATTATTATTATTATTATAAAACAAAAGCTGACACTGTTGTCCTATCACCTCTACAATGATAGTTAAAGCAGTCCTGGCTTCATTTACCAGCAGATATTACTGCACTGCAGATGTTAAAAAGCATGGGACCGAAATATAACTCCGAGCCACGTCATGTGCCAATAACCATGGGCAGGGCTGGAATAATGAAAAGTATGGGGCCATCAAAAGGGATCTAGTTAATTATAATATCATGAATCCAAATCCTACCCCAACAAGACAACTCAGTATGATGTGAGAATTGATGGTATCAAAAACTTATGAGAGGTCAGAGAGAATGAATAGGTTGCATTTCCCAATGTATCCTATGTAATAAATCATTCACAAGGATCAAACCATTTATTCTAGTCCTATTTATCTGTTTTAAATATTTGTGTAGCTGTTCACAACCAATGAAAACAAGATATACAACCATTAAAGCAAAAATGAAAAGTAAAACCAAAAAACACCACAGAAAAATCGGGCACCACAACATTTCAACAATTTCTTCATCTGGCTCTGACTTCACCCTATTCCAAAGGTGAGGGTTTTTTTTAAGTGCGCTTCAGAAAGTTAAAAACGTGGAGGCCTGTCAGATATCAAAGGAGGTGTTCCATAGGACAGGGCTGCAACGTTAATTAATATAAAATAGTAATAAAATCAAGGTAATATTTATATATTGGATTTTATCTCACAGTTCCTTCAGGATCCAAAGAGTCCTCTTCTCATTTTCCCCCACAACCAGTTTCTTTAAAAAAAAAAAAAGGTGCCGGAACTCACACATGTCATACAACCCGCCTTGCCTACCCTACAAGGTTCCATCCAAAAAAGGTGCCGGAACTCCGTTCTGGGCGTTCTATGAGAAAAAAAGCCCTGCCCACAACAATCCTGTAAAGCAGGGGTGTCAAACTGGCGGCCTGCAGGCTGGATGGGTCACATGCAGGCTAAGCCCACTCCAGCTCCGCAAAGGCAAAAAACATCGCAATACATCACGTTACAACACGTGACACAATCGAGTTTGACATCCATGCTATAAAGCAGTGGTTCTCAACCTTCCTAATGCCGCGACCCTTTAATACAGTTCCTCATGTTGTGGTGACCCCCAACCATAAAATTATTTTCGTTGCTACTTCATAACTGTAATTTTGCTATTTTTATGAATAGTAATGTAAATATCTGATATGCAGGGTGTATTTTCATTGTTACGAATTGAACATAATTAAAGCATAGTGATTAATCACAAAAACAATATAGCAATGCTCGCTGGAGAAGCTTACTCTTCCTTGCTCAAAAATGTTGGGAGGGAGGGAAGGGGAAGGAAGGAAGGAAGATTGAAGGGGAAAGGAAGGAGAT